CCAGCTCCTATGCTTTCAGGGTAGAGGGTAGGGTATTCCAGCCATATCTGTAACAATTAGAGACTGAGGGGTTCTGGTAGAGCCTGGGGGCCATGCATGAATTAATGAATTAATGTGTAAATAGGCATCTCTCAGCCATTTGTCCCAGGTTTTTTTTTTTTTAGATTTTTTTACATAGTTCAGAGGCCAGACCATGAAATGGTGCTGCTCACAATGGGTTGGCATCACATCAATTAACAATCAAGACATATGCCACAGACATGGCCACAGCACAGCCTGATCTAGATAACCCCACTTTAATATTCTTTTCCAGGTGAGTCTATATCTTGTCAGGTTGACTGTCAAAGCCAACTTGTGCACTAGTGCATTTTACTTCACCGTCCCAGCTATATTGCCTTTTAAAAACTTACTACCATAAATTGTCCTATGCTTTCTAGACATATTTTTGTAGTTACTGGTATTTTATGTTTCCTTAGTTTTATTTTGTTTCATTTTTTGTTTTAGTGTTCTGGAAGTTCTTTCTCTCCCTGTGTAGCACTGGGAATTGAGGGTATACATAGAGGATACTATGAAGACACTTTTTATAATATGGGAAGAGCTCTCTATCCCTGCACAAATGGTAACATGGAAACCCAAGATGATGGCAAAAAGCAAGCAAGGAATGATATCACTCACAAAGTGAAGATGTAGGCAACAACTGGTTCAGAAGTGATAGGGTGACAGGCACAACATGCAAAAGGGGTAATTCCAGTAATTAACTGGAAGACTGTTCAAAAAAGATGGGTTATATAGAGTCCACAGCAAGCTTGCAAGAATCATTGAGCATCTCGGATGACAAATTCAGCAAAGAGTGATTCTGAAAGAAAATACAACCTGGAATGTTTAAAGGAAAAAGCTCAGTAAGTAAAATGGTCCATTGGAAAAATAGCAGTGGAGTAGATGATTTGGATTGAAAGACTAGAAAGGAATGAAGATAAGGAATCCTTAGAGTGAGGTGACTAAAGGAAAAAGAACTCTCATGAATACAGCAGTTAAGCGTGCCACCCCCAATGAATAATTAAGAGATGGCACCTTTGAGTCTGTGGAGTAGAAGAGAAGGCTGTGAAGTAGATCCAAGAAACTGAAAACATATTCTGTGAATTTCAAACTCTAGTCTTCCTCTCAAACCAAAACAAAAGGACAATCATCCAGCAATGGAAGCCATTCAGATTCACAAATTGATGGGAATCAGTACTGAAAAGGATTTCCTCAAACCACCACTATATGGATAGTTAACATGTCAAGAGTAGAGCAAAAGGAAGGTGGTAACAGGCATACCTATTAGCATAATAGGTTTTTAAGATGAAATGCTAATGCCAGAAAGCATGGCTCATGTTTTTCATGCCCTGTCACAAACAAAATTGCCAAATGAGATAACTATATCTAGCAATGTTATTTATTAAAAATCAAAGAATACAACTGGATTCCAGGATTTCAGCTCAGTGTTTAGCTGTGGGTCTCTGCTTCCATCAGCTACTGAATGAAGGCTTAGCTGAGCACTGAGATGAACTCCTAGAATCCAGTCGTAGAGAGGGAGGAGTGATGAGCAAAGGGGCAAGACCATGCTGAAGAAACCCACAGAAACAGCTGACCTAAGCAAGTGATCTCACAGACCCCAGTCAGACAGCTGGGGAACCAGCATAAGACTGAACCAGGGCCCCTAAATGTGGGTGTCTTTAGGAGGCCTGGGCAGTCTATGGGGCCTCTGGTGGTGGAACCAGTATTTATCCCCAATGCACGAATGGACTTTGGGAGACCATTCCCCCATGGAGGTACACTCTCTCAGCCTAGATACATGGGGGAGGGCCTAGGCCCTGCTGCAAATGATGTGACAGACTTTGATGACCCCTCATGGAAGGCTTCACTCTCCCTGGGGAATGGATGTGGGGGTGGGATAGGGGATTGGTGAGGGGCATGGGGGTATGGGAGTGAGAGGGAATTGGTATTGATATGTAAAATAAGATTGTTTTTAATTTAAATAAAAATAAAATAAATCAAAGAATAACTTACATTAATTATTGTGCAAATACTAAGCTTCCATTGAATAAGATCCTTAAATGAATGTTGAACACAGAGAAGAACAAAGATGAACAAAATCAAGAGCTTAGGGAATAATGAAAGTTATTATTAATGCACACATCAGAATGAAAAAAATACTAAATATTAGTAATTCAGCAACTAAAAAACCTTTCAGAGAAACAAGACACAAGGTAAGTGTATATTATGCAACAACACTAAATGTAACTAGCCTTAGGTTTTCTTATTTAAAACTGAACATTGGCAACCTGGATTTAAAGTAAATCTGCTGGGAGGAGTTTCACTGCCTGACCTGCAGGGATCTGCCTGGTCACAGGGGTGCCTCCACCTCCATCCTCCAAAGAGATAGGGGAAAAATCAAACCAGTTAGCTCCTGTCAGCACAGATCTGGGTCAGTTTAAGTTCTCATTGCATCATTGGCTCTAATCCTAGCACTTGAGGGACAGATGCAGGAAGAATAGGAATCCAAGGCTATCCTGAGCTACACAGGGAGGCCCTGTCTCAGATGAACACAAGGGAGACTGGACTATAGCTCAGTCATAGAGCACACATCTACCACGTACAAGACTGTCTCTTGGATCCCAAGTCCCACAAAGCAAAGCAAAACAAAACCCAACAAACAAGCAAGCAAGGAAGCAATCAAGCAATTCCCACTCCAGAGAACAAACATTTTCACAAAACAAAGTAATCTCTCATCATGTAGAGTCCATCACTTTAAAATGATCAGTTTTCAGTACAGGGCACAGGAATGGCTGACAGTGTAAGCTGCTCCAATCTCCTTTCAATAAAGGATTTAAGATGCAACTGCTAAAAAATGTCATTGGTGACATCTCAGTGGTGGCTCTTTTAAGATCTATCTCTATTTGTCAGATGGAGACAAATGCCTTAAGAACCTCTGTCATGGAGCTGAGGATAGATGGTCCTGATGTTTCTTTGTGGGTCTCCTTTGGAGAATGGGATCTATCACAATCTGATGACACCTTCACATAATAGAGTCTGTTCTTTCTTTTCTTGGGTGTTGTACCTCTTCAATCTGTAGTCCTCCAAGTGTCAGATAAATGTCTTATACTTGGGGGAAACAACCTACCACATGTGTTTTGAAGTCTCCTCCTATGCATTTGCTCTTTCTTCCCCCAGTTTTGCCTTTGGGTCCTCTTATGACAGTGAAGATTAAAATGTGACAGGTGACACAGTTGCCTGCTCCTGCTTAACAATCTAGGGTCCTGGCATCAGAAAAAGTTGTCTTCTGCTCCTCTAAGATTTGGCAGTGCACTGCCTTCTCATGGTCAATAGTGTTACCCACATTCCTCTAGTTAAACTCATGGGAGCCTGGAAATATGGTTTCTTAAGTAAAAACTCCTGCTGCCAAACTAGGTGACTTGAGTTTGATTTCTGGGACTCACAATGTCCTTTAAATTGTTCTGTGACTTTTTTCCCCCAGCACATGCAAACACAGATAAATACATAAAATAAAATTTAAACTCATTGATTGGTACATGTGGTGGTTTCAATAAGAATGGTCACCATAGGCTCATATATTTGAATGTTCAGTCATTAGGGAGCAACACTACTTAGAAGGATTGGGAGATACGGCCTTGTTGGAGAAAGTTTGTCACTGGGGATGGGTTTTTCAGTTTCAGAACCCAAGCCAAGTACAGTGTCTACCTGCTGTTTACTGATCCAAATGTAGAACTTTTAGCTGTGTCTCCAGCAACACATCTGTCTGAGTGTCACCAAGTTCCCCACCTTGGTGAGAACACACTAAACCTCTGAAACTGTAAGCCCCAGTTAAACGCTTTTATGAGTTATCTTGGTCATGGTGTGTCTCTTCATAGTAACACTAACTAAGGCAATACACCAAGCCATGTATGAGTGGAACTGATTCTTCACTTTGTTGTTTTTGTTCAGTCTGGAGCAAATAGACTTTTGCTTAGGAAAATTTCATGAAACATTTAAGAAGCCACCAGGAAGCAATTTGATCAATGGTGATGTTTGTAAGCAATTTTTTTGAGGATTGGACTCACATTGAGTTACTCTGGAGATCCTTAAACATGAATGTCAGCGCCTTGAACCTGAATTCTGAGTTCACTGTTCCTTTATAAATTGACTTTGACAAATTAAAGTTCCTCTGGAAATCGTTGCAGAGAGTCAGAGGTTAACAACCACTACCTTTGTGGTTTGGGATGCATGAGGCATGCATGACATGACACCCATGTGTGCTGTGATACTTTGCCTGATGCAGCATCTCAGTTCAAGAGGGAAGTAAGCAGCTCTGCCTAGCTAAAATCAAAGAACACATCCAAGATATGCTCCCCCATTTGGCTATGTTGCTGCAAGAGGAATTGCACTCTCGGTAGATACATCTGTATGAATGTCACTAGCTTTCATAGGAAGATGGCTTAAGCACAGACATTTGGTTATTACCTATAAAGGAAATTAAAAAAAAAAAAATCCTGAAAACCCAAGAGGAATGGAAAGATGGAAAGATTTTGCATGCATGTGGGATGTATTACACATATTTTAAAATTTCTCCCAAGGTAGGTAAGTAATGAAAAACATGATACTGGTTTCTTACATGGTAACTTACAATCAAGTTCAAAAAATTTTTTTTAAGTATTAAAAAATTAATTTGCTCTTCTTGGGACACATAGGATACGAGCAATATATTTTTTCATAAAATTTTAATACTTTATTTTCAAGGTTAAGTGCACACAAATAGGAAGGAGGTTCTGTCACAGGTTAAGCCCTGCCTTAATTTACCTGTGAAAGCAAGGCCTTGTCATTCCGGCTTCATCCACCCATGGGTTGAAGCATGAACAGTCACTCAGGGTGGGACCTTAAGCATTACCCAATCAGAGGCACTGGGCTGAAGATTACCCAATCAGGCACATTAACGGAGTGGAGGGGCGGGGCGTTCAGCCCTGAACCCGTTGTTGCTGACCCCGCCATCTTGGCGTCTGTGGCCGTTTTTCTTTTCAGCTTTGGCACCTGGATTGCACCTGGTCTCTGTCGCCTTGTGACTCGCTGGTGTCTGGACACCGAGCGCGAGGGAGCCGCTCACCCGGAGTCCCGAAATGGTGCGTGTACCCGAGTCAGCGTCCCCAGCCCCCCCCCCCCCGTGGGAGTTGCCTTGCGCCCGGGCCCCCTGCGCTGTGGCCGGGCTAGGGAGGCCGCTGCAGCCCGGGATCCTGTCGCGTTCGCACACTGGGGACCCGCAGTGACGTTCCCTGACCAGGGCCGCTGCGGACGCTGCCCAGGTGGGAACGCTGGGCCTGCGGGACCTGTGGCTGCCCGGATCTTCCCTGCCGCCCCCAGATCTGGCAGGACTTTGGTCAGCTTGAGAGGATGCTGGCTACTCGGTCTCAAGGCCCTTATGTCCACCGGCCTCCCCATGGTTTTCCTGCAGCCACCCCGCCCCCTCTCTTCTTGTACTCCGCGTTTGTTCCTGGCTGCTCATGTTGCAATCTTGTGCTGTATCTCTGAACCTCTGACTCCACACACTGTGAGCAGAACCTCCCACCCCATTCCTCTGCTGTTAATGGCTCATCTTTCCCCTAGTGTCTCCGGATTTCTCAACATGTCTTCTCCATGAGGCCTTTCCTTCAGGCCCTGGAGTTCCTGAGGGACCGGGAGTAGGTACTTCTCCTTCATTCTACCCCTTCTGACATCTCTCAGAGGCTCAGGCTCTCTATATGTTACTAGGGATGGAACCTAAGAATTCGTTCATTCAAAGTAGTGCACTGTAGTGCTCTGGCGTGAACCAAACTAGTTACTGGTCCTTTTTTTTTTTTTTTTTTTTTTTTTTTTTTTTTTTTTTCCCTTTTTCTTAACGTTTTTGGTATCATATATTAATGGTATACAGGAGTGACTCTCATTACACCTTATATCTGTGTATAATGTATTTCCTTCACGCCAACCCCAGTTACTCTCCTGGCCCCTTTCCCATTCCCTCTAATTCCCTTCCACGGTCTCAGTACTTCCCTTATTCTTAGATGTCTTTGTGTCTTTTTTGTTTTGTTTTTTAAATGACCCTTGACTTGAACAGGCATATTGGAGAGGAGTTTGCTCCAGGAGCATGGGCCTCAAACTGTTGTCTACACTACTGAATAAAGACAACCATTAACTGTTTACATATCCTGAAGAAGGAATGGAGCCTTGCATTCTTACAGTTTTACTTTATTTTTTTTTATTGAATCCTAGTTTTAACTGCAACACAAGTTGGCTTTGAGCCTCCCATCCTCCTCCCTTAACTGGAATACAGGCCAGCCTTTTGTGCTATTGTGGAAGTAAAGAGAGGACCCCAAGGTTGGGACTGATATTTGGCAGGATCCCAGATACCAGTTGTCCTTTCTTTTTTAATCCACCTTTGCTCTTGATGATGGGGAGAAACTCAGAATGCCTCTCCTCTGGTGGGGTCCTGGCATACAGGCATAGATAGCTTGTCGCACAGTATGGTTCTGGGGGGATTAAGGTGCATGGAGAAAAAGAAGCCTTACAGACAGAGATGCTGATATGAGATAGCCACATAGCATGACCTACAGCACATCAGTGGGTCACGGGAAGGTCCCAAGATCAGACTCAGAGCAGCCATGTTGATTCCCTTGGCTCCTCCATTTTCACACTTATGGTAGGGAGGGGAAGGAGCCAGGTCATGGCTCATGTGTTGTGGAACATGAGAGGTGAGACAGAGAGGCAGGCTCTGAGTGTCCCTCCTTGGGGTTTGGCCATATAGTACTGGGCTTTCCAGATCTCCTTGGTATTGGTCTGGTTCATGGGAAGTGAAGGAGGAGGATTAGGAGACTCAGCACAGGGAATGGGGGTCTGTACCCTAAACCTGAGCACTGCACATGTGGGTCTCAGTTGTCTGTATGTGCGCCCCGTGTGCCTGCAAATCTGTCCCTCCATCCTTTGTCTCCTTCTCTTCCCTGTTTGTGACTCTTTTGTTGTTTGTATTTTATCTTTCTGTAGCCTACTCTGGACTCAATATTCATAGGACAGGAGAAGGCAGTGAGTATACTAGATTCAGTGGGGCCTCAAATGGCTGGGAGAGTTGGTGCTGATGTTCTTTGGTCAGTGAGGATGGATGAGGATGGTCCTGAGAGAAGGGGCCCTATAGGAGGAGGAGGTCTGAGAGAGGAAGTGAGAGCCTGAGGGAGGAGAAGCCCTGAGAGGAGGTCTCTGAAGGGAATTCCTCAGACTCCTTCAGGCAGCAATGCCCCATTGCTGTTGACAGCAGGAGCATCTGTTGAGGACCTGCTTCCGAGAGGTCAAAGGGCAGTGTCTGGAGACCTGGCATGACCCAAATATAAGGAAAAAAAGGGAAGCCAGGAGCCAACATTTTCTGCATCTGTGTCTTTCTTGACCGTTCTGCTGTTCATGAAAATCCCAACTCCACAGCAGCCTCTCCTGCAGTATCAGGAATGAAGGATGTAGAATTTGGATGGCCAACTCTCTTGCCTCACCTCCTCCCTGTGGGTAAACTGTTTTCCCTGAGCCTTCCAGTTGTGTGAAGCAAGTTTGAAAATTCAGAACCATGGCTAGTACTTCCACCCCCCCCCCCCCACCCCGTCTCTGGCAATAAATTCCTAAAATGTCACTTCCCTGTAAGTGTTAAGAAATATCAACATCTTGTTTTGCTTGTATGAATGAATTTATGTACAGCACATACATGCCTTAGTTTGAAAAGGCCAAAGGGGGCTTCATACTCCATGGAACTGGAGTTGTAGACAGTTCTGAGCTACTATGTAGGGGCTGGCAACTGAACCATCTCTCCAGCCCCATCAACATCATTTTCTACAGTTTGCTAAGCTATTTGTTCATTGTAATATGTGATTTATTAAAAACAGACATCAGTGCAGTGGATATTTGAAGAATTTAATTCTGTTCATGAATGTCACATGAGAGGAAAGCTGAGAAAATTCCCTTGAGCCCATGTAAATGATCTCGTTTCTCTCCTGCATACGGTAGGGACAGAAACCTTATCTGATGACATTGTGATGAGCTCACCTCTAGCAAACTTCATAGTGTGGTGTCCCTTCATCCCAACATCTGTACTTCCGGGTCTCAAGTGTCCTCAAAAGCTGTGTTTTTGATCTCTTGGAATTCTACTTGGGTTCTCTTCCAGGGGGCAGTCTCATGTATGTTGTGGATCTTCTTCCCAGAATGGGTGGATGCTCTTTATGTTAGAGGAATGTTCTGCCATACCTTCATCTAAGAGACACTTAACTATTAGCCCTTTGGCAGTGAGCATGAATGTGAAATCATTTCACATTTAGGTACTGTTGCATGCATGCCAACCTTGGTGATTATTGGATCATGCAGAAGATCTGCGTTTACATTTTTTGCAGATCTTAAATACTGCATTGTAAAAGGACTGTACTAATTTTACACTTCAACTGAGTTCCCTTTTTGCAGTGTCCATTGTAATCTGACCCTTGTAATCTGTCATTGCTTTGACATAGTGATTCCCACATCTTGCCTGGGGGCTGCAAGAAGTATGCTGTCTGCTACATCAAATCCCTGAGGCAAATTTGTTGTCATTCAGGCTGTCCAGTAGCTTCTTAAAGAATGGATGACTTCTGGGACTAGACCAGAATCTGTCTTGTCACCCTTTTCTTCATTATTTCTGGGTTTTAGATAGTTGTTTTTCTGGACCCTGAAGAGGTTTGCATGTGATACATTGCTTTGTTACGAACTTGGGAGTTTAGTATATATTCCCACAAACAGACCCAATTTAAAGCTGAGGCATTCAGTGAATGGGTGGATGTGGAGATGTTGTGTGTGAGCAGTGGAGGGGCTCAGTAGTCTAAACTCCCATTGGGGCTATCACAATATACTGATTTTTTCCCCCTGTTATCCTGATAAAAGCTCAGTTGTCACTAATAACAGTTAGCTGACTATAGTGTAGAGTCCTTCCATTGAGAAAAGTGGCCTTGGAGTTTTAACCCGCTTTCTCTCTTGATCCCAGGTGATGAGACCAGTGGGAATATTTGTATTAGCATATGAAAGTATGATTTTTCTCAGTTTTGTAGGGAGATGTGGGTCCATGTATTTACATGTATGATCATTATCTGCCCACCCTCTAGATGACCTTAGGAGCATGGAATCATTTTCCTTTTGTATAATGTAATGGAAGTTGAGTTCTTGCTCATGTGTGTGTCTCATCATTTTAACTCATTGATGTGATGTGATTGCTGCCTCAGTTTCCCAATATGTAGAACAACTCATTTATGCTTTACAGAAAGAAATGATACATATATTTTCCACTTATGGTTCCACTTATGGATGAGAAACATTGTATGAACCCAGATATATAAGTTCATATAAAATAGGAATACAAGCCGGGTGTTGGTGGTGCATGCCTTTAATCCCAGCACTCGGGAGGCAGAGACAGGTGGATCTTTGTGAGTTTGAGGCCAGCCTGGTCTACAGCACTAGTTCCAGGACAGACTCCAAAGCAATACAGAGATACCCTGTCTCAAAAAACAAACAAACAAAAAATAGGAATGCAAACAAACATGTGTTTAATAAATTTACACATTTATTTTAAAATAATTTATGATTTTATTGTTTGCAAAAGACAAAAGGAACTTTGCATACATGTAAAATTCATGTGCTTGTTTTTTGTAACACAACGGAAGTCAAATGTGTGCTAATTTCATGCTTAAAGAGTGAGGGTTGAAGTTGGGAAAATACTTAAAATCTTTAATTTCCATGATTATGTCGCTGTTTCATTAAGAGCAGAAAAATGTATGTAGCCATGTAGTATAAGATTATTTCAAGCCTTGTTCCTTGAAATTGCATGATATGATGGCATGAACAGTGCGTAGTGCACATGGTATGTGTTCACAGCAAAGGCTACAGAGCTGTCATTTGTTGCCACATGGCTGAGTGCTATCCACAGAATGCTGTCCAAAACATTGGATTCATTATGTCTCTCTGAGTTAAACTTTGGTCATGGCATATTTAGAAGCCCTCTCTGTTGGAAAAATAATTTTGTGACCCTATGTTCACCTATGTGACCCCCAAATGGGGTCATCCTCTTGCTTTTAAGAATAAGATCTATTCTACTATAGGAAGGGGGACTTGAGCTCATGCCCATGTATCTTCTACACTGAAGCGCAGAGCTACACTGCCAGCCCCAGCATCCACCTTTACATTGTGCTGTGCATGCCTTATAGATTTAATCTTGTTTTTATAATTGAGCTTATAGAATCCACTCTCTTCTTAATGGAAACCTTACAAACTCATACTCAGATACAATTTTGTTTCTATTATAGTTCCATGGAGAGCTCTTTAATTATAATTTCTTCAATTACTACTTTAACACAGAGATAAGATATTTGTGTTGCTCTTAATCTGTCCCCCTATATAGAATACAAGTCAAGGCTCAGCTTCTATGTGACACTGGCAAGACACAAACACAAAGAGAAATGGATTCTGTTTCCAGTTCTGGGGCCTTGGGTTGACAAGAGGTGTGTCATTACAGGGGCTGGTGTCATTTGAGGACGTGGCTGTGGACTTCTCGTGGCAGGAGTGGCAGGAGCTGGATGCTGCTCAGAGGACCCTCTACAGGGATGTGATGCTGGAGAACTACAGCAGCCTGGTGTCCTTGGGTGAGTTTGACTCCTAGGCAGCTAGCTTTTTAATACTAAGTTAATAGATGTTTAACTGGTACGTGCTAATGCCATAATGTATGTATGTATGTATGTATGTATGTATGTATGTATATGTATGTATTCTCCCTGATAGCTATTTTGAAAGATTTAATTGTCAAACATATTTATTATCACACTATAGAACATAAGTTGTGTCCTTTGCCTATGTACTAAAAGCAAATGCTAACTATCCCCTGTCTCCCCCCCTCCCCACCCCCGCTTTGTCTCTGTTCTACTCTCATAACCCCCATTTTCTCTACTTCTTTGAGGGTACCTTGAGCTTGCAGGTATGATGAGGACGTGTGGGATTTTGCTTCTTTTGGCAGACATGGTTTGTTGATCTTGTGTCTCTCCTGTATAGACATGATAAATCATCTGTTTATCTCAATTATGGAAGAAGTCAATAGCCCAAGAAAACATCCATCTATTCCAGTCTGGTGAATCAAAAAGTATAATTTTGGTAGTCAAAGAGACAAAGTGACTCTCAGACATTGGTAACCCTGAAAACTCCACTTCTATGGCATGTGCAGAAGGGGTCTGGATTGGAATCTCTCTTGAGTTCATGAGGGAATGTTGGCAGCATCATTACTGCTGTTAGAGACCTAGGTATTTACTGTATCTCTTTATTTCATTGCTGTATTTGTATACCAATCCATCTTTAAGATATTGGGAGTCATTGTGGACTTGGAACTAGGGGTAGAGCTTCACTGTGTGCTCTCCATTTCTGTTCCTGGACAAGTGTTTCTGTTTATGGGATGATGCCCAAGAAAGGATGTTGGGATGTCAGCACCCCCTTCCTTTGCTTTCTTGCTCCAGTGAGATGAGGAACATAGTTTAGTCACTGTGGCCTCTTCTGTGTAGATGATTTGGAGTTTGGTTGTGATCCCATTGGCTGATCTTACCATGCATCTGGTAGACATCAAAATACCCTCGTCTGCCTCACTGCCCCGAGGTGTTTATTGTATATTCTGGGGACATCATTATGTCATGTCTTACACCTTTGATTTACTTTGGGGCTTTGTTTTTTGTTTGTTTGTTTGTTTCTCATTATGCATTTGTAATGCAGTTTCTCAGGCTGACTTTAAACTCCCTTTGATCTTGACCTTATGATTCTCTCCAGAGTGCTGGGATTTCAGGTGCATGCTAGCACAGTCAAAACTTGATCTGTTTTAGTTGATGTCTTTGTAAAGTTTAGAGAGAGGGGTCTATTGTCTTTCATTAGTCTGAACAGTCCATGTTTCTCTGCAAGACTTACAGATGAGAACTTCCCTCTTGGCTGAAGGGCCTTGAAACCTTTGTTGAAAATCAGTTCACTGAACGTATTAATCAGCTTTTCCTCACTCTGACACAATACCTGAGTGAACTTATACGAAGAAGATTTATGTTGGCTCATAGTTTCCGCTGGTTTTCCCATGATTTTACTCAGCTATGTCCTATAGTGAGGAAGAGTGTCCTAGAGAGAGTGAGATGCGCCACTTCACCTCCACTGGAAAGCAAGAAAAGGTTCTGACATGCCAGCATCCCTTTTGGGTGTCTGCTCGTGGCCGCATTTCCTTCTGCTAAACTGTACCTGCTAACTTTATCCAAGTGTGGTAAAGACTTAAGCATTTGTTGCCCTGACCAGCGGGGCATTAACGAAGGCCTGAACCCCAAAAGACCTGGAATGAAGGGACAGGAGACACGAGAAACCGGCAGCAAGATGAACTTTCTGATCAAGCTGCAAAATTTTATTTTTCTCAAGCATATTATATAATGGTTAGGGCGGGAAGCTAGGTAAGGTGGGGAATCAGAGGGGGGAAGTTGTTGCCTGGTAACTGGACTGCCTGATGCTTTTCATTGTAGGTCACTGAAGGTGAGAAGGATATGCAGATAAGCAAGTTGTTAGCAGGGGAAGAGGTCTTTGGAGTTGCTAAGTCACTGCATAAGGAGGGGTTACCTAACTGTATTCCTGTAAGCTCCAAATTCTATTTTTCAGGAAGTTGGGGGTGGAGGGGAGAAGGTAGATTGAGAGTGAAGGTAGCAATCTTCTAACTCAATGGGTATTCTAAGAAAAAGCTGGCAATCTCTCAGGCTTCTGCCATGATCGCTCTTGGCAATTTGTAATGCTGTATTCTTTATAATGTGTTTCAGTTTCCCCCACTATAACCCTGAATAGATATGATTTTGCTTGGGGCTGTCCTAGTTCCCTACTGTCTTTTTGTAGTGAGTTTTGGAAGTTAGGTATCAAGAGCTACATGTTTGTGCTCTTTGAACAAGATGCTTTGCTAATTCCGGGTCTCTGGTACTTTCACATGATGTTTAAGACATTGTTAAGGAAGTTTATTTCTGTTTCTGTGGAGATGTACATTGATTTTACTATGAGAATATGGTTGAATCTGTAAATCACTTTAAGAAGTGCGGGTATTTCTTCTTTTAATATTACTTCCATTTATTAACATGGAATGTGATGACCTATTTTTTTGTGTCTTTCACAATATTTAAATAGTTTATTTTTTTTACTCTGATAATCTAACATATGTACGCAATGTGTTTTCAGTTTTACTATCTGTTATCTTCTTATGGCCTCCCCATTTCACCAAGCACATGCTGTTACCTACAGTCCCTCTCTACCTTACCTCTTCTTAATGTGATGGCTTTGTTTTTTTATGACCATTGAGTTTGATTAGGATTCTTTGCATGAACATGGGGTGGTATATATTAATTTCTGTAGCATGGGCAGTTTTTCTTTGTTGGTTTTCTGAGCCATGGTTTCTCTCTGTATCTTGGGATGCCTGGAACTTACTTCGTAGACCAAAGTGTTTTAAACTTGCAGTGGTCCTCCTGACTCAGCTATTGTATCCTGGGATTTTTCCATCTGGTAAAGGGCTGGGGGGGGGGCAGGTGGCGTCTTTTAACTTTTCAGTATTTGGGACTTTTCAGATTGTTATTAGGCTCGTCAGTTAATAAGTTATACAGTTGAGCTGGGGACATAGCTCAGTGATTGTTGTCCTACAGCAGTTTGAATAGGACTCTAAAATTAAACTTCTCAACAATTTGTTTTTTTTTTTTATTTTGTACCATGGTACATGGTATTTTAGTTTTTTTGACTTTGTGTTCTCTAAGAAGATATTTTTGTCTAGTTTCTAAATTTTTCCTTTTGTGTCCTTTTAAATTTTTTTTCTCTGTGTAGCTTCATTTACCATTCATAGCATGGCTTAAATGGAGGTTTTTATGTTCCACCAGTGACATGGACTTTCTGCTTGGGAACAATTTGTCATTTTCCATTTACAGGGCACTGCATGACTAAACCTGAGTTGATCTTCAGGTTGGAGCATGGATTTGGGCCATGGAGCATAGGAGAGACCTCACTCTGGAATCTCCCAGGTCAGTGAATGTGTACTATGGAAGGGAATTCAGCAAGGATGACTGCTCCTAGGATACTGGTCATGTTGAGCTGTCTTTACTGACATTCCAGTGCAAGTCTAAGCAACAACTAGTTTTGCCTGTCAAACATTTACCTTATGCAGTTTCTACATGGGGATCTCTATGTCAGTCCATCTCCTTTTTTGTTGTTGAAGCCTGTTTTCCTAAATTTACAAAAAAAAAAAAAAAAATTATGAAATCTTTGGATAGGTTTTCTCAGACATTTTTGTTTGTTACTTCGAGAGATGGAGTCTCATAGCCCAGACTCCCCTCAAACTCATTGTGCAGGCTAGGCTGGGCTCGAACTCTTCATCCTTTTCTTTCCACCTCCCACTACCCATATGTATCACCACACCCAGCCTTATCTGTAGATTTATCAGTGAGATGCTTTGCCTGAATACTTAATCTGAATTCTCAATTGTCCTTCGAACTTTGTTTTACTTTGATGATTTGTTTGAGTGCTTGGTCTTGATCTGAAAGTTTGATAACAATAATTAACATCCCAATGCATCTTTTGAAGGGCTCACATTCAGGGAGAGAAAAGTGAAACAGTGATGTCACAGTGAGATAGAGACACTAAGAATATTTACTCTGAGGAAGGGAAAACACACACACACAAACACACACACACACACACACACACACACACACACACACACACACGGAGGTTGATTTCAGGAAAGGCATAAAATAAGATACTACATTTAGTTTAGTTTAGTGTTGTGATTACTCTTTAAAATTTTTGAACTAGCAGCACTTGAGAAGCATAGGCAGGCATATCTCTTCAACATTGTTCTTGAAGGTCTAGCTAGAGCAATAAGATAACAAAAGGAGATCAAGTGGATGCAAATTGGACAGAAAGAAGTCAAACTTTCACTATTTGCGGGTGATATGATAGTTTACATAACTGACCAGAATATCTTTTTTAGGTTAGGAAAAAACACAGCAGAATTTTAAGGATAGGGTGGCAGATAAGACTTTTTTCCAGTGTAATTCATGGATGCCCAGTGTCAGAGTCACAAAGGAGAGGATGTTTCCCAAGGAAAGCAAGAGAGAAAGAGCACTTGGACTCAAGAAAGGGGTGACAGGACAGTATACAGTACAACAGAGAGCAATTTTCTTTCTTTGTGTGAAAAGGGCAGCACAGGCTACATTTTTAATGTCAAATCCCAAGTGGTAATGAGCTGAAGGCTACAACTAGGTACTGACCATAATGTGCAAAGGGCCCTGTTACCACAGACTGGCATTCTTTGTCATGGGAGAAACCTGTGATGCTACACAGATAGTGTCTTGTAGTCAGAAGCCCCAAATAAACACACAGAGGCTTCTGTTAATTGGAAACTGTTGGGCTAATGGCTCAAGCTTATTACTGGCTAGCTCTCTCTTAGTTATTAACCCATTTCTATTAAACTATGTATTGCCATGAGGCTGTGGCTTACCCGTAATTCACCGGTGTCTTATAGATTTTGACATAAAAAATTGGAAAACAAGTGAATTGCTTTTATCCACACATAGAATGTTATACTAGGGGCCCATCCACTCTCAGGGCATGACAGTCCCATCAGTCAAAAACTCAGGAGGCTAGTGACATGCTGACAGTTTCTATGAAATAGATGGGCACAAGAGGTAGCCATGGAAACTCACGTGTATGATGCAGGCTCCTTAAGAAAGAGGCATTGAGTGTTAGGAATGGAGTCTTACCTTTCTAGTGAAGAGTATGCCCATTCCTCATAGACACTGGCAGAGAGTAAAAATAGTGGACCCAGAATCAGCCAGTTGGTTGGCCTCTAGACCATTTTTCCATCTGCATGTGTTTACTATACCTGGGGACTAAAAGATTGGAGCCCAGGGACAATTCTCTAGACTTTCACAACTATCTTCTTGTCAGACTATGCTGTTTATTGGGCTCCAAAGGACCTGGGCAGCCCAGAATCTCCTTGCCCACTCATCTATGGCTAACTCTGCAGAGACACCTCATGTATGGAGGTTTGCTTGCTATCAGTGAGTGTAGAAATACTGACACTTCTGAAGGATTCATATGGTATCTGGTTGATACTCAAAAGCTTGAGCACAGCAATGACTCCTTTATGCAGATAGTTTTCATCATTGAATTTAAACTTGTCATCAACATAACCTTGTTGGGCGAAGTCCTTAGCTAATATATAGAGAATGCTAACAGGTAAGATGAGAACAGAGAACTCACTGTTACTCCTCAGCTGCTACCCAGAAATCCCAGCAGCCTGCTGGTGAATTCCAGTAATAGTGGACATTACTATTACTTCTCCAGTGTTTTTTGTTTTGTTATTGTTTTTCTATTTTTTCTACACAATGTTATTATTGTTTTGTGTGTGGTTAGGGTTACTATTTATTGCTGTGATGAATTGCCATGACCAAATGCAAGTTGGGGAAGAAAGGGTTTATTTGACTTGTACTTCAGCACTGTTGCTCATCACTGAAGGAAGTCAGGGCAGGAACACAAGAGGGCAGCTTCCTGGAGGCAGGAGCTGATGCGGAAGCTATGGAGGGGTGCTGCTTACTGGCTTGCTCCTCATGGCTTGCTCAGACTACTTTCTTATAGAACCCAGGATCATCAGGGGTGGCACTATACCACAATGGTCTGGGCCCTCTCCCATCAATCACTAATTAAGAAAATGCCCTATAGCCACATCTTGTGGCTGTATTTTCTCAATTAAGGTTTCTTCCATTCAGCTGGGCATTGGTGGTGTGCACCTTTAATCCCAGCACTCAGGAGGCAGATCTGATCTCTGTGACTTTGAGACCAGCCTGGTCTACAGAGCTAGTTCCAGGACAGGTCCCGAAGCAATACAGAGAAACCCTGTGTCAAAAAAGAAGAAGAAGAAGAAAAAAAAAGGTTCTCCTTTTAGGTGACTAGCTTGTGTCAGGTTGACATATAACTAGCTAGCAAATTTTAACTTATCCCTTTGAAGTATTTGATATTTGTATTTTTATTTCTCCTTGTTCCTTTTTATAGTTTTATTAGCACTGTATATTTGACTGTCAGATAATGCTCTCTAGTTTTGTATCCTTTTCTACATTCCTAAAGCTGAAGAATATACTGTACATTTTATTTTAACCAAATAAACTATCTATTTGATTTACGGATTGTGATGTTTTTACTACATCATTTCAGGTGTTCTTGAAGTGCATGCTCCTGATAAGAGTTGCCTGGAAAATCCAGAGAGTCCTGTGTGGCCGATAGGAAGCATCAGCAGGGATCTGTCAAACAGAGAGATGCTTGAAGTAGGTAAAACGCAAATGTGAACAAGATATTTACAATTTGAATCTGGACATAAGGTGTAGAATTTTTTTCCTAGGAACCCTACTTGTGGTAGAATGTATCTATATTGATCCTTGTCTGATGCTGACTAAGGAAGAAGCTGACAGTATAACTGATAAGCTCCTCTGGCACCCTGAGCACCTTTGCCTCCCTAACAAATTTGAAAGTTCATTATTATGATGCTCAATATATCTGACCAGGGATATACAGCTACACAAAAATATTATTTTAAAATGTTTGATATTTAAGAAACCTCTTGTTTCATGCATTGGAAATTGTTTGTTTGCATAACACTTAATGTGTAAAACATATCTCATGAAAGAAAAATATTGCATGTAACAGGACTCAGAACAACCTGGTAAAGTATGGACTGAGAGATAACTGAGCAGTTAAGAATATGAGCTGCTCTCACATAGGATACAAGTTAAGTTCCCAGAACACATGTCTCGTAGCTCCTAACCACCTAGAACTCCAGCTCCAGGGGAATATGACACAGCTGGCTTCCATGGGCACCTACACCTGGAGGCACATACCCCCACACGTCTATTCATAATTAAAAATCCTTTTATTTTAATGATAAACTATACATCGGGGGAAATGCTGTGAATGCACTGTTTGTAAAACTTTTAAGAATTTATTACCCTCACAGAGCATTAACTATGTGTTAGAAATAGCCCCACTGTTAGAAAACCTTGACATATTCTTTTGTCTCAAGGCAGAAATGAAGGTTCAGCTGGAACTCCACCGAGGTGTAAAACCCTATGACTGTAAACCGTGTATGAAGGCGATTAACCTGCCATCGCAGCACAGCAAGCAGCGTGACTATTACTCGCGTGTGAAACCCTACGAATGGAAGGAATGTCAGAAGGCTTTCTGTTGTAAGTCAGTGCTCACTGAACATCAGAGAACGCGTACAAGGTTGAAGATCTACCAGTGTACAGAATGCAGGAAAGCTTTCCCCTCCAAATCAGAACTCGCTGTACATCATAGAATTCACACTGGTGAGAAGCCCCACGAATGCGAAGAGTGTGGCAAAGCTTTCTATCGTAAGTCAACCCTTACTGTACATCAGAAGACTCACAGAGGGGAGAAACCTTATGAGTGCAAGGAATGTTGGAAAGCCTTCTATTATAAGTCAACCCTCACCGAACATCAGCGAATTCACACTGGTGAGAAGCCTTATGTGTGTAAAGACTGTGGCAAGGCTTTCTTCTACAAGTCAAACTTAACTCGCCATCATAGAACCCATACAGGCGAGAAGCCCTATGAATGTGAAGAGTGCAGAAAAGGGTTCTCCTCCAAGTCAGAGCTCACGTCTCATCACAGAACTCACACAGGTGAGAAGCCCTATCAGTGTGAAGAATGTGGCAAAGCTTTTTACTGCAAGTCAACCCTCCGTGTACATCAAAAAATTCATACAGGTGAAAAACCGTATGAATGTAAGGAATGTCAGAAAGCCTTCTATTATAAGTCAACCCTGACTGAACATCAAAGAACTCACACGGGTGAGAAGCCCTATGAGTGTAAAGAATGTAACAAGGCTTTCTTCTACAAGTCCCAGCTAACTCGCCATCATAGAATTCATACAGGCGAGAAGCCCTATGAATGTGAAGAGTGCCGGAAAGCGTTCTCCTCCAAGTCAGAGCTGACTGCTCATCACAGAACTCACACCGGCGAGAAGCCCTATGAATGTAAAGAATGTGGCAAATGTTTCTGTCGCAAGTCACACTTAACTCTACATCAGAGAATCCATACAGGTGAGAAGCCCTATGAATGTAAAGATTGCAGGAAAGCCTTTTTCTGCAAGTCAGGACTTGCCCGACATCTGGGGACTCATGCACATGACACTAATACAAAGAATAGAGAAAAGCATTTTCCTGCAACTCACAGCTCAGCCACCATCAGAAATGTCACCCAAGTGAAAACTCCTGTGAGTATAAAGAATGAAGACAAACTCACTACTGTAGCTCAGTCCTCGCTCCATCCCATGGACTTCTTACAGTTGAGAAGTTCTATAGATGTACATAATGCAGGAAAACTTACCTTCCTAACTCATGCCTCATTCGGTTTGAATGAACTCAGATGAGACACGCTAATAATTTAGAGAAGGCAAGAAAGCTTGCAACCAGCAAGGATCACTTGACATCAGAGAATCATGTAGAATGATGACAACAAAGAGCATGAAAACAGCCACAAGAGAGACGTTTCTCAACATCAGAAAACCCATACTGGTGTGAGACATTGTATCTGGAAGGAAAATAGGAAAGCTCTACAGTAATTATCTCACTGGAAGTATCTCATACATGTGAAGAAGCTTATGAATTTAAAGGTCAGAAGTTTTGATTGATATCATATCTCAGTTAACATGAGTATACATGCCATGAAGAATCCTGAGAAGGTTTAAAAATCCAACATTTCATAGTAGAAAATACTATCTGTGTACTAACTTTGGAAAACAAACATTTAAGGGACCTTGTTAAAGAACATAGGGAAACTTTGATGAGTGAAACCACATTCTGCATCAGTAAAGTCATATAGGTGAGAGAGTATGTGCAGTAACAAATTTGTTGTATATACTGGTACTTATTTATGTCCTATGTTCATTGAAACATAGCTATTCAAGACTAGAAATATCACAGCTTCTTCTTCTCTGGTGCTGGTGGTCCTCTAGTATTCTAATAGCATGTATAGAAGCGTGATGTAGCTCAGAAGTGTTGCTGAAGTATGTTGGATGACTGTGACCACTACCTGGTAGGAGGCAGCCTTTTGTGGGACTGTTCAAATCACTGATGCTGGATCTTCTGATAGTTATTTTAATCTGACACTCACTAACATAGGAATTATGTTATGTCCAGAAATTAACAGTACTTATATCCCCATCCTCAGAGAAATGATGCTTATGAGTGGTGACAGTCACATCAAATTAGGAGCATAGACGGCACACTTTGCAGATACACAAAGGAATCTAGGCCCATGCCCAAGATGATAAAGTGTTAGAGCCAGGATCAAATACTCTGTCTCAGCTCAGTAGTGCTTTCTACTAGCTCTGAACCATCTTACATGGGCCAAATCCACACATAGTCTGAGGTCAAGGAGCACTTCTTTGTGGCTGAAGGGAGAATAGTCTTTACTACCATTTTCCAACTCTGGCAAAAGAGAATCTAAATAATGTTGTCCTGGGTGACTGCCCTCTGAGCCACACAACTGCCATCGTGGGGAATTCAGGTGTGCCCCCTTGCAAAAGCTCATCCCAGATGGGTTTGTTGGTGACTTATATCCTCTCCCACCCCCCACATGTATCCAACTGCTCCCTATCTATCAATTGGCAACTCTGCAGACTACCTAGACTGTCTGTTTAGAGACAGAGAGAGAGAGAGAGAGTGAGTGTGTAATACTAGGGAAGGGGCCATATCCTCAATCTATGCTGTTTTGGAAAAACAATTCCTGCTGGGTAAATCTTTCCAGATGTGGCCCTTTGGGGATGGAGTGCCCACACCCTTGTAAGTAACCCTCACCACTTATGTTCTCTCTGTAAGGAAACTAAATAAATTCAATGGTTTACTTGTAAACTTTGTTCCAATCATGCTTTCGTTTGCCATTAGGACCTTAAGAGAAGAGGTAGACACTACGCGTCTGTGTCCTCCGGGTAGGAATTCATAGCAATGCAGTGTCACCATTAGATGAAGCCATAGCCAAGGTGAGGCAGTAGCAGCACAAAGTGAATGTTCCTATTGTAGATTGGATTTCCAGGAAGTCAGGTGATCCAGTTTATCTTAGTTTTTCTAAGTTGAGCCTTTCTCACCTTCCCCCATGTTACTTAGCAATACTCCATTAGAGACAGTAGATAGCGCAAGAAACATCTGTGCTCAGAAATTTCTATGCTCAGGTTAAATTGGAGAAGTAAGATTTGAAAAGTTAACATGAGATGTTAAAATAGTACAATTTACCTTAAAATCTTCCAAGAATTTTAGTAATCTACCTTGAATCACTGGAGTGAGAAAGTAAGAGGGAATGCAGATAAGGATTCCAGGACCTCCAAGTAGTGTGTCAAAGAGTGTCCGGTGAACAAATTAATGAGTTTCAGCAGCGGTCTGGGCTTGAGTGGGCAGCCAAGCACGTGTGTTCATCATTACTGCCTCTGTGGTGGCACAGTGTCATCCCTTTGCATGACACCGTTCTCACCGGCCTAGTGATTCTGTACCTTTGAATAGTTATGTTAATGTGAGTGACCCTGGAGTCAGAGCTTTGGGACAAGGAGTCTGGCTAAGGCTTAGGAAGAAGTCTCAATCTCAGCACATAGAAAAGTTCCCTTCAGAAGAATCAGACCTGAGATTATGCCCTGGGACATATGGTCTGCTTTATCAGAGTGATGTCTTGACAAGGTTCAAGCCACCCAGCTGTTAAAGTGCCAGAGTACACAGAAGTGTGGGGTTTTTTCACTGACTTGAAGTTAGTTTCTAGTGTGGGTAGGTAAGAGGTAGCATGTGTCTCCTAAATCCAGGAAAAACTAGTGGCTAGTACTCACTTTCTATGTGAGTCCACATTTCCCCAGCCTGTGTTCAGAGGTTTGGATTTATGATCAGTTCCCATGCTTTCTATCAGAACCAGAGCCTAGCATAAAACCACACCTTTTCCACACAAAGCTGAGTACACATGGTGCTGGATATAGTGCAAATGGTAGAGGGTATTGTAGCAGTGATGTGGGGGGATTTTAATAGACCCTGGCTGTGTGCCTCACTCCCATCTTACAGTGGTTTCATGTCTACCATTGGTGCTGGTTAAAGGACCACCATCTCTTAGCCACCACTGTATTGACTAAATACAGTTCTTATACTTAACTACCAGTATGTTGGGAGACTCACAGTGGATAGATTATAGTAAATGAGCATGTATGTATGATATACTCATTGAAGAAGTGATGGGAAGTGCTAAGTAACACAAGCAAGCTTTAACTGTATTCTTCAAATATGAGACTGCACAAACTACTCCAGTTGCCAAATACTTTAATTGCAGGGATATGAGGTTGCAATTGTGAAGGAAAGAAGTACTTTGTAAATAAGTGAGATAGATTCCTACCATGTACTTGAACAATTTGTAAGTAAAATGAAAATGCTCTAATAAACATCGTCTGCCAGTGTATGACTGGGCTCATCAATGTGAATCTATAGTCATTCTATATTTTAGTCACTTTGTGACTATTTTTCACTGCATTTGTGGGGTTTTAATTCAGTTAATATTGCTGTATTCTCCTGTGTTACAATTATGCACATGGACATGGATTTCTGTATTGTGTCATTGGTAAAAGATTGTGTAATATATTCATAAATGGAAATTTTATATTTAATTTTTCATTCATTGATACTCACTTATTCTAACTTTAAACAAGTGGAGTTTTTAAATACTTTTTTTAAAAAAAAGTTAAAATATATTATTTTCCCTCTTCCCCTTCCTCCCTCCAATATTTCCCTTGTACTCTCTTGCTCTTCCAAATTCATGGTCTCTTTCTCTTTAACTTTTGCTACAGGTGTGTGTGTGTGTGTGTGTGCCTAAATGTGTTCAGTCTATATGTTACTTGTATGTGTATGATTTCAGAGTATTGGGTAAATAAACTATTTTTTCTGTTTTCAGCATTCTTTAGTTGTGTGTAGTTCTTTGTGTAGAATTGGAGTCTTGAGGGATTAACGCCCCCATGGTAATGCGTGTGTTGATGCTATCCTTTTAAAAGAGGTTTTAAAATTGTTTGTATATGAGTGTTTTTCTTGCATTTATGTGCATGCACAACACACATGCCTACAACCTGCAGATACCAGAAGATGTTGGAGGGAACTAGAGTTACCAGATAGTTCAGATAGTTGTGAGTAACAATGTGGGTGCTGAGAACTGACCCTAGATCCTATGCAAGAGCAGCTAGTACTCTTAACTGCTTTGCCATCTCTCCAGCCCACATCAGTAATGTTTTAATTTGTGCATCTGCATCGGTTTTGTTTTGTTTTCTCTATAATTTCTCTAAACATGTTGCAGATATGATGATAATGATGATTGAGCACTTGTATATGTTCTATACAATGTGGCCATTCAAGTCTCTTACCTTTGTGTGTGTGTGTGTGTGTGTGTGTGTGTGTGTGTGTGTGTGTGTGTTCTGGGCTCTGGTTTTTCCTTTTCAGAGTAGTTCTGCCACTAAGGAGGCAGAAGCAGGTGAATCTCTATGAGTTGGAAGCCAGCCTGGTCTACATAGTGAGTTCCAGAACACCCAGGACTATATAGAGAGGGATATAGAGAGAGACCATGTCTCAGCCAAAAACAAAACAAAGTATTTGATCTATGTGATGGGATGTGGTTTCTCCCAATGTGTTATTTCACTTTTGAGCCTTGCATTATGTAATCTAATGCATAGTCTTAATATCATTACAATTTAATACTTTTAAAAATAATGGTTTTGGGCAGATTTGAAAGGAAATCTTCCAAGAATTGTATAATTTTCCTTTATTTTCACATTCTGTGAAAGTAAAGAAAGGTCACAACATTCTTTTTGCCACAAGTGTCCTCTGTTGTCCCAACAGTTTTCATCTGAAAGGGAATATAAACTTTTCATTCAATCTTAGGAGTCTTCCTTCCCTCTCCTATTGCGGTAAATAAGGGTCAGGATAAACAAATAGGCCGAATAGATGTTTATTCAGGGAGAAATAACTTACAACCTAGACAGATGAACACCAGGAAATTCAACCCGATCCTCTCCTGTCCGAGTCACGCCAGAAAGAGAGCGCCTTCCTGGCCCCCTCCGACCTCCTTCCTCAGGTCCTCTCCGCCCATCGCTCCACCCCCCAATGGGCGTGGTCAGTGCTACAGAAGGACTACCTCACTACAATTCCCCTTTTAGTCTAAAGAAAAGATTTAGGCTTAATACAAAACTATATACAAAACAGTGAATAACAAGTGTGCTCTAAGAAAAGGAAAATCGAGAACAAAATGACCTACATATCTAGTCCTAGGGTGAGGGCATAATGGAGTTTACAATAGAGTTGTCCTAAGCTGGAAAACGTAAGTCTAGTACCTAATATATCTAACTAGGAAGAGAGAATAATAGTTGTGATAGTTTAATCTTTAACCTCATCAAGACCTGAGAAGGAAAATAACAATACTAGAGTAGACAGGAAATGCGGATGGACAACTTCCAAAACGGTGCAGCAA